GGTGGAGCAGGATGTTCTTGATCCAGTTATTCTACTCTCAGGTTCTTTGCACTAAAAGGGCTCGGAAATCACTCACTAGAGCTAATTTAAGAGAATGGAACAGAGTTAGCTGCCATTACCACTGGACTCAGATAAATGTTATTTAATTAGTTACTTAAATACTGTAGGGAGATGGTGTTCAGGTGAGTTGCTTGGATAACTTATGACCCTTACAAAGTCATTTATGTGTTAGGCAGGTTAGTGTCATGGTTAAGAGCATAGGGGAGCCTGATAACCTGAATTTCAGTCCCAGCTCCACTACTTGCTAGGTGCTTCCAGGAAAAAATGAAGGTAATGACAGTATCACAGTAAAATGAAGTTAATCTCTCAAGATCATAGTGGTTTTTTAATACAACATATGTAGAGAGAGGGGCTACATGTAGGTAGAATCATGCCTGCCAGATAACATGTGCTGTGGTTGTTGAACATATTTATAATTTATTCAAAGCTGTTTATTGGACACTCCTTTGAAGGCATGCTGTTGGATCTGGTAATATGGTGATGAAGAGGGCAGGTAAAAGCTTACCATTTTTGCAGTCCTTTGAATGGTTAAGAATATTACCACTTCTTGTTGTTTGAATGCTTCTAATTGCTAGTGACTTAGATTAATATTTGTGTTATTTACTGGTTAATTGCTAATGGGTTCCAGTCCTACTACTTAACGCTGGCTTGTTGATCTTGGGCATGTTACTTACTTTCATTTAATGTAAAATTGAGATATCTCTTTTACCAGGTTCTATAAAAGTTAAATGAGATAATTCATGACCTGTTAGAAAGTAGTAGCTAAAAATAATAATGTGAAAACCTTACACAAAAATCCAGTTTGTGGGTGTTTGTAGCATTTGTAATATGATTACATTTAGGAAAAGAATCCCAGTATCTATTCATGCCTTATGCTAAAGTGGCAGAATTTTTGTTAAGTTTGCATAATATGTAATATAATCCGTATCTGGGTTAGAGTTGTAGTATTTCCTAGGAGTAGGATTGTGAAATGCTTCTTTAAATTATGTGTAAAATATTTACATGAGGGCACATTGATTTATATACATTTATGTAACATAATTGTGCTTATCTCTAAGATACCTAGAAGGATGAGTTTGTGTTTAAGAAATTCAGATAATAGGCATAGCTAAAGAAAAGAGTAGATGTCCTGTTTACTATGCAAAATAATTCCTTTTTCCCTCTTGGTTTCATAATAGTTACTTGTAGCAGTTTGTAAGGGATTAGTATGAAGAAAGTTAACAGTTCTCAAGGAATCAGCCAAAGAGTAACTTTCAGCATTTGTGCAAAAGAAACTAATTTCTGGAGTTGAAACTCTGTAATGTAGAGTTTAAAAAATCTTTTTTAAATAGAACAGGGTAAAATTTCAGAATCAGTGTTTTGAACATCATCCCTTTTTTCCTATTGTAGGTTACATCCATTCTCATACTTCTGCATTTGTATGTGGTAACAAGCATTTGTATGTGGTCATTTATTTTCACTAATTCTGTCCCTTTAACTCTTAGGATTTTTCTGTGCTTTCAGTGTCCCTGCCCTCTGCAACATTCGTGTTGAAACTTAATCCTGAATGCAACAGTATTAAGTGGTGGGACTTTTAGGAGGTGATGAGGCTGCGAAGGCTCTGCCTTCATGGATAGAATTAGTCCCTTATATATGGATGGAATTAGTGTCTTATATAAGGGCTGGAGAGAACTAGCAGGCCCTTTTTATAAGGCCATCCATGAGGGCAGAGCCCTCACAGCCTAATCACTTCCTAAAAGCCCTACGCTTAATACTTGAAGATGCAGTAACAGGTACCATCTTGGAAGCAGGGACCAGATCCTCACCAGGCACTGAACCTGCTGATGCCTTTGATCTTAGACTTCCTAGTCTCCACAACTGTGAGAAATTTCTGTTTTTTATAAATTACCTGTCTCAGGTTGTTTCTGTTTTGTTTTGTTTTGTTTTGTACAGCAACGCAAATGAACTAAGAGAGCTTTGTTATTTGCAAGTATTTTCTATGCCCTACATAATTTTCCCATTTCCCTTTTTTGGGAGGTGAGCAGATGGACAGGCATTGTCATTTCTGCTCAGAAGTCTTTCCAAGGTACACCAAGTGTTAAAGTAAAAATATAGTTAACAGTTTTCCTGTTTTATTAAAAGGATAAAAATTCACCAGTTATTTCTTTACTTCCATATTTCCATCCAGAATGCCTTTCTTCTTTTTGCTCTTCTGCCTGCCATATGTGAAAATACAGTGCTGTTGATCCCAAGTGCTCCTATAATCTTTTTGGGAAGCTTGATTGTAAAAATGAGTTTGTAACATCTCACTGCTCTTTTGCATTTTGTCTCTAATAGGCATAAAGTTTAGTTTTCTATATGTAAACTCTACTTTTCCACATGTAAAACTCTTCCCTTTAAAGTACCTGCAATAGGCATTCAGAAATTGCCTGGTGGGAATAAATATAAGAGAGCTTCAGGTTTGACCTTACCATATAAATTAGTTTATGTCATTGTACTGTAGTAAATGGGAATGAGAGTCTTGAGTTTAAATGAAGATTACATAATCAACTCTTTGTATTCTGTCTTCCATACCTTATGCACGGGTGGGATTATTAGCCAACAATTGCATAAATATATTAAAGTTATCAAAGGACATATACTACTGTTTACAGTTGTTTCTTATTTGGAGAAATAATGGAAGCCTGTCATATATGATGATTTCTTTATCAGACTCTCATGGTAAACTATCCAGGCGCATAAAAGGCACCCATTTTTATTTTCTTAAATAAAGTACTGCATTGTAAATATATTCTTCCCATAGAGTAGACAACTGTCACCTAAGAGTGTAACCTAACTGGGAGTCATAATGGATGTCTTCCTCCAGTGATCCCCCATGCGTATCATTAGTGTTTTGGAACTGATCTGTTTCTGCAACTCTGCCTTAGAATTTAGTGGAGCTGTTAAATTGAGCCTGTTTTTAATCTCTGTATCTCTACAGGTTATAGGTCTCTGTTGTCTCTCAGACCTGTCAGTGCTCCAGAAATGGAGAAAATAGAGACAAAACATTCAAACACCTCCTCTCAAGCTCATCTTGTGGCAGTATAATTTGGGTAACTTCTGTGTTGGCAATAGTTGTAAGCATTGGAATGACTGAGACTATGAAGTTCACAGTGAAAAAGTTCCTTTCTTGAAAATGTTAACAATTTATATTTTAGTTCATAATATTTTCAAAAAATTGCTTTCATGTTAGTCTTTTTAAGAAAATGTAAATTTTATTATATATGGTAAAATTGAGCTTTTTTGAGGTTTATAGTTTGTGCATTTTAATACATGTATAGATCTGTTTTGCCACCACAGTCAAGATTTGCAATAGTTCTATCCCTCCCCAAAATCTATTGTGCTGTCTCTGTAGTCATATGTTCTCCTAACCCAGGTAACTGCTGACAAATTCTTCATCAGTATAGTTTTGCATATAAATGCAGTTCTGTAATATGTAGCCTTTTGAGACTAGCTTCTTTCACAAAATAGAACGCCTTTAAGATGCATTCCATTTGTTGACTGAAATACTAGTTCGTATCTTTTTCTTGCTGAGCAGTATTTCATTATATGATTGACTATACCATAGTTTTTATTTTGATGAGCAAAATATAAATGTGTTCTTGTACTATCTTTGTTTGTTTTTTGTATAAGGATAATGCTGGATTCATAAAATGACTTGGAAAGTGCTTATCTTCCATTTTCTGAAAGAGATGTGTTGATTTGGTGTCATTTCCTGTTTAAATATTTCATAGAATTCATCAGGGAAATTATGTGGGCCTAAAGGTTTCTTTTTTGGAAGGCTTTTAACTACTCAATTTCTTCAAATAGTACTAAGACTATTCGGGTTATCTACATCATCAGTCTGGCAAGTTTAGATTGTATTGATCTTTTCAAAGAATGAGCTTTTGGTTTTGTTGATTTTTATCTGTTTTTCTGTTCTCAATTTCATTGATTTCTATTCTTTATTTCCTTTCTTCTGCCCGTTTTCTATATATTTTGCTCCTTTTTTAGTTTCTTAATATGCAAGTTTAAATTACTGATTTGAGCCTTTTTCTGATAGAAGAAATTTAGTATTACAGTGCTTTTGCTGCATCTCACATGTTGTAACTACGGTTATGTTTGGGTTCAAGTCTGTTTTCTTTGTGTTTCTTCTCTTTTTGTTCTCTGTGCCTTCCTTCTTTGGGTTATTCGAACATTTTTAAAATATTCTAACTGACTAACCTGAACTGATTTGAAGGAAAGTGGGTATAGTAGTTACCATTTGTCCATAGGGGCTATGTTTTAAGTAGATGCCTGAAACTGCAGATAGTAACAAACTCTTTGTATATTATGTTTTACTATATGTACATATTCCTTATGAAGTTTAACTTATAAATTAGGCAACGGAAAGATTAACAACAATAACAAAATAGAACAATTATAACAATATACTGTAATAAAAGTTATGTGAATAAGGGCTCTCTCTCAAAATATCTTACTGTACTTTACTTACCCTTCTTGAGATGAAGACGGAGTGTCACAAGACATTGAGTAATGTTTTTAGTGGTAGCTCTAAGAATTATACATACTTAAAATTTTAGCCTTCTTGGCATTCTTATTTTACCACTATAAGTGAAATAGAGGTCTTGCTGCCATGTGTGTCCCTCTTCCTTTCTCCCTTTATGTTGCAGTTCCATTTATTGGGTTTTGTAGATACTGCATATTTTACAAATTGAAGGTTTGTGGCAACCCTGCATCAAGCAGGTTTGGTGCCACTTTTCCAACAACTTCTGATTACTTAATGTTTCTTTCACATTTTGGTAATTTCCACAATGTTTCAGATCTTTTTTTTATTATTATATTTGTTGTGATCTGTGATCAGTGATCTTTGATATTACTATTGTAATTACTTTGGGGCACCACAAAGAGCACCCATATAAGACATAAGTTAATATGCTTACGTGTCTGCTGACTGCTCCACTGATCAGCTGTTCCCTCATCTCTCCACTTTTCCTTGGACCTCCCTGTTCCTCAACAATATTGAAGTTAGACCAAACAGCTTTATCGCTGATATCAAGAAAGTTTGACTGATCTGGGTAGAGGGTCAAACCAATAATAACATTCTCTTAACGCAAAGCCTAATCCAAAGCAAGGCTCTAACTCTCTTCAAGCCTATGAAGTCTGAAAGGGGCAAGTAAGCTGCAGAAGAAAAATTTGAAGCTAGCGGAGGTTAGTTCATGAAGTTTAAGGAAATAAACCATCTCCATAACATAAAAGTGTAAGGTGAAGCAGCACATGCTGATGCAGAATCTGCATCAGGTTATCCAGAAAGCCTAGCTGACATCATTGATGAAAGTGGCAATACTAAGCAAAAGATGTTTAATGCAGATGAACCAGCCTCCTATTGAAAGAAGATTCCTTCTAGGACTTTCATAGGTAGAGAGGAGAAGTCAATGTCTGGCTTCAAAGCTTTTAAGGACAGGCTGACTGTCTTGTTAGGGGCTAATGCAGCTGGTGACTATACATTTATAAACCAGTGCTCATTGACCATTCTGAAAATTCCAGGGCCCTTAAGAATTATGCTAAATCTACTCTGTGCTATATAAATGAAACAACAAAGCTTGGATGACAGCACATCTATTTACAGAATGTTTTACTGAATATTTTGAGCTCACTGTTAAGACCAACTGCTTAGATAAAAATTCCTTTCAACATGGTACTTAATAATTAACAGTACACCTAGTCATCCAAGAGCTCTGATGGAAATATACAGAAATACATTTTCATGCCTGCTAACACAACATCTGTTCTTCAACCCACTGATCAAGAAGTAATTTTGACTGTTCAGTCTTATTCTCTTAGAAATACATTTCATAAGGCTACAACTGCTTTAGACAGTGATTTCTTGGATAGTTACGGGCAAAGTAAATTGAAAGCCTTTTGGAAAGGATTCACCATTCTAGATGCCATGAAGAACTTTGTTGATTCATGGAAAGAGATTAAAATATGAACAGGATTGTGAAGAAGTTGATTCCAACACTCCTGGATAACTTGTAGGGGTTCAAAACTTCTGTGGATTAAGTAACTACAGATGTGGTATAAACAGCAGGAAAACTATTATCGAATTAGAATTGGAGCCTGAAGATGTGACTGAATTGCTGCAATTTTATGATAAAGCTTGAATGAAGAGTTGTTTCTTAGAGATGAGCAAAGAAAGTGGTTTCTTGAGGTGGAATGTACTCTTGGTAAAGGTGTTGTGAACATGGTTAAAATGGTGCATAAACTTTGATAACTCAGTAGCAGAGTTTAAAAGGATTGACTTTAATTTTGAAAGACGTTCTGCTGTGGATCAAATGCCGTCAAATAACATCTCATACTACGGAGAAATTTTTTGTGAAAGGAGGAGTCTCTCAATGTGGCATACTTGATTGTTGTCTTGTTTTAAGAAATTGCCACAGCCACCCTGCCCTTCAGCAGCTACCATCCTGTGATTAGTCAGCAACCATCAATATCAAAGCAAGACCCTCCACCAGCAAAAAGACTATGACTTACTGAAGGCTTAAATGAGTGTTGGCATTTTCAGCAGTAAGGTATTTTTAAATCAAGTAGGTACAGTTTTTAGACATAATGTTATTGCACACTTAATAGACTACAGCATTATATAAACCTTTATGTGTACTAGGAAACCAAAAATTTCATGTGACTTGCTGTATTGCAGTATTACTTTATTACTCTGGTCTGAACGTAGACTTGTGATGTCTTTGCGGTATGTCTGTATTAGAAATCTTATCAGGAAGTGTTATAAATATTTGCTTTTAATGCCAAACATTTTTTAAAGAATTCAAGATGAGAACAGTTAAGTGGTGATCTTCCATAATTCCTAGTATTATATCTCTTCTGTATGTAAGATTTTTTTTTTTAGAGCTGGAAAAGAGTTCTCATTTTTCTTCCGCTTTGAATATCTTTTGTTTCACATTCATTCCTGAAGAATCTTTTCACTAGATAGAGGATGAGTTTACAGTTCTTTTTGATTTTAGCACTTGTAGGCTATTGTTCCCCTTTCTTCTGACTTGCATGGTTTCTGATGAGAAATCACTAGTGATTCAAATCATTAAACTCTCTCCCCCTCATGAGTAATGCATCATATTTTTTTCTGGGTGCTTTCAAGGTTTTCCTTTGTAATTTTCAGCAGCTTGACGCTAATGTGTGTCCCGGCATGGATTTCATTGGAATTATTCTGTCTGAGGTTTGTAAGAACTTCTTAAACATAGAAGTTTATGCCTTTCACCAAATTTCAGGAAGTTTCCAGCCATTATTTTTTCTTCTTTATTGCAGTGATTTTCCTTTTCTTGCTTCTTGACATGAATATTGGTTTTTTGATATTGCATCACAGGTCCCTAGGCCTTTAATATTTTTTTCCCCAGTATTTTTCTCTTTGTTTTTTAGATTGGGTAATTTCTTTTGGTTTGTCTTCAAGTTCACTGACTCTTTACTATTTTATTTCCATTCTGCTGTTAAGTCTATCCAGTGTATTTTTATTTCCATTCTCCCTTTTTTTTAGTTTCCACTTGGTTCTTTATGTCTTCTATTTGTTTGCCATGATTGTTTGGCTTTCTATTTGTTTCAAAAGTATTTACTGACACTTGTTGGAATATATATACTGGCTTTAAATTTTTGTCTACTTGTTAGATAATTCATTTTAGATAATTCACCTAGCTGTGTCATCTTGGTGGTGTTTTCTTTTAATTGTCTTTTCCCATGAGAGTGTTCTTTTCCTAGTTCTCTCTATGCCAAGTGATTTTGGATTGTGTTCTGTACATTTTGAACACTATGTTCCAAAACTTTATCTTTTGTTTAAATGCTATGAGAAATGTTGATGTTTTGTTTTTATTTTTTTTGTGTGTGTTTTTTTTTAAGAGACAGGGTTTTACTGTAGCATCCAGGCTGGAGTGCATGGTGTGATTGTAGCTTACTTCATCCTTCCACTCCTGGGCCCAAGGGATCCTCTTGCCCTAGTCTTCTGATTAGCTGAGACTGCAAGAACACATTACCATGCTTGGCTCTATATTTTTTATTTTTTGTAGAGAGAGGATCTCTCTTTGTTGCCCAGACTGGTCTCTAACTACTAGCTTTAAGCAATCCTCCCACCTTGACCTGTTAAAGTGCTGGGATTACAGGCTTGAGTCACCGTGTCCAGCAATATTTTTATTTTTACAGGCATTTGATCCAGTTGGGTTCAGGTTGGTCATAAGTTCCAACCAGCTTTCCGTAGGTTGTAGTTTTTTAACCTCAGTTCTGTTTTCACAACTTTACGATACTATTTGTACTTTTTCAGTATGCACTACCCAGTAGCCAGTCTGTGACATGTGTGGAGGTTTATCCTGTATTTTAGTTTTCAGAGTCTAATAAGCTGTTTGGGTTTAAATCCATGTATGTTCAGCTTGAGTGAGTTAGGAGTTCAAAAACAGCTTACTGTTACTTTCTTGAGTTCTTTCCTCTCTGTTATATCCATGGTATTTTCTAGATGCCTGGGACACTCTTTTCTGTCTTCTGGCCAGAAAATTGGTTTTCATTTACTGCATTTCCCACAACTGTGTCTGGATCCAAGTAACAGGAAGACAAGAGAGAAGTCAACAGGATTGGGCCAGAGTTCTTTTATTTGGTGAGGATGGTTCTTGTCTCTCTTTCTTAAGAGTTTTAGGTTCCTGCTGCTGCTGCCATTGTTGCTTCCTCTATTACCCAGCTCATTTAGGAATTAGGACATAAGGAATGAGGAACAGGGAAAGAAAAAAAAAGGGGGAGCAGTTTGCCCCTTCTTTATGAACATTGGGAGACACTCCTTCCCTGCACCTCCCCCTTATTCACCTTGCTTTATATTTAGAAGGATTCTCTTAGAACTTGCTGTCTGTCCTTACCAGTGTCTACTTACTAGGTTTCAGGCTTTATTAATCCCAGACCAGGAGATTCTGGATGGGGAAAAGGTGGTGAACTTTTTTTTTTTTTTTTTTTTGAGACAGAGTTTCACTCTGGTTGCCCAGGCTAGAGTGTCAATGGTGTGATCTCAGCTCACCGCAACCTCTGCCTCTTGGATTCACCTGTCTCAGCCTCCCAAGTAGCCGGGATTACGGGCATGTGCCACCACACCTGGCTAATTTTTAAAATATTTTTAGTAGAGTTGAGGTTTCTCCATGTTAGGCTGGTCTCAAACTCCCAACCTCAGGTGATCTACCCACCTCGGCCTCCCAAAGTGCTGGGATTACAGGTGTGAGCCACTGCACCTGGCTTTTGATGACCTTTCTAAATAAATATATTAGCTTTGAAAAACTTGTTCTATTTTCAGTTCAATCTTTATTATCTGGCTGAGGATTTCTGGCTTGCCTTTCACTTTGAAATGTTTTATTCTTTATTCATTTTACTCTTTTAAAAATGATTTGTTTCAATATTAGGTTTTGATCATTGTAGAGCTTAGTGTGAGATGACATTTATCATGAATTATTTTGGCACTCACTTCCTGTTGCAAACACTGAATGAGAATTTTAGGGACATTCTGAAACATACCCTTCCTGGATTGATATAGGAAACTGATTTTATTAAAAGACCTGTAAGTGTGGGTGACTTCAGCTTCTTAATTTTCATTTTATCTAGTAAGCTTCAAGATAATAGGATTATTTGTTCATCATTGAATTGTGCTTGGTCCTTTTCTGAATATAGGTCCATAGTGGAGGAAATGAATATAAAAGATTCCTAGAAATTGCTTTTGTTGATAACTGCTAACAAGCCATCAGATCACTGATAATCTTTTTAGAAACTGAACTAGAAAGTAATTCCGGGGACTGATAGGAAATAATAACAGAAAGCAGAGTGTGTAAATCTATTAAAACAAACATTGATTAAGAGTTTTCTGAGACTGCTCCTACTTTCCCTTTTATTCAGCTCTGCCTTTCATTTATCATATCAGTGCTCTTCCATAGTAGGGTCTGTCATGGCAAGATTGGGCTTG